CCCTGCTGAAAATGCCTTTGCTAAACATAGCCTGTATTAGTCTTCCAACACTGACACATTGTGGGGTCTGCTCTTTATGAAAAAAAGTCTTCTAGTGAGATGTTATAGCTCATCTCTGCCTAGTGCCTGTCATCTAAAGGGTAAAGCATCTTACATAAACAGGGATTTTACTTCCTAGCATTATAACAGCCATTCTAAGGTTGGATCAGATCAATTAGGAAGGTAGAAACCCCATTACCAGCTGCTGCACATCACAAGGAAGAGGAAGTCTCTCAACAGTCAGGGAGGGCTGCTTTCCAAATGTGTCCCTGAGTTACCTATCAAAGAGGATTCAAGGAGAGAACAACACTGCAGTCAACAGTGAAACTGCATCTATCTTTAAAAAATCTAGCCTAGTTTAAACTTACATAGCTCAGGTAATGGTAGCAAGAAGCCTAGGCAGCAAGAAGGGAGTTACTTTGTAAGACAGGAATCATCTTATGTGTTGCTAGACCTCTGCAGTAGCATATCTCCAGCTGAGCTGGGCTCCCCCAGCTGGGCATAGTTGGTGGCAAAAGGGGTACTTTTGCAATAGCTCTGCTCTGCTTTAGGTGTCTACATGAGGATGAGACAGATCACACGCTGCACTCTGTTGACTATATTGACTGCATCTCCACAAGGCTAGGAAGGGGGTCCTGCAGGCTAGCTCAGGTGGAGCTGATAACCTCACAGGTATCAAGAGTTAAGAGTCCAACCCACAGGGACTAGACTGTGCCACTGTAGCCTGTGGTAACACAGCTTCGCTGTAGGAACCCACTTGAGGCTGGTCCCAGATAGTGCATCCAGGTCTGTTCCAATGCAGCAGAAACATTCCCATGTTACAGGAGATCCCAGGCTGCAATTTGTTATTGCCATGTCCTGAAAGTAATACATAAAAATATCTTTTGTCCAGGCAAAGCAAAAAATGGCTGGGGTGGTAGCAGCTGCTCAAATAGCCAAATATCTCCCAGCACAGAGCCAATAACTGTTCTGTTCTTGCTGCCACCCACCTCAGAAGGTCCTGCTACCTTAGAGAAGGAGCTGCAGAAACCAGCTGTTGTCCATGTGTGTGATTCATCTCCAGGTGGTTACAATTCACAACCATATTAGAGAAGGCAGTAGGGCTAGAGTCTACCAAAAATGCAGTAGTTGCCACTACTTGTGGGAAAGGCAGCGATGTATTTGGTCCCTCAGACTTGGGGTTTCTGCTGCCGCAGAACTACGTTCAACACAGTTTCCTCTTTGTGACATTAGTAGCTCTACAAATTCAGTTTGGAAAGGCCTACCTGAGAGCCTCTTTTACGCAGAACTCAAGTGCCCTTTTTGTCAGCAGCCTTTTCTTGTCCCGTAGTGTCTTCCAGTTCCTCATGATGTGCTCCAGCCTCATGCTTCTGCTCTAGTTTCAACACAACTGTCCAGGAAGGATTCCCCAAGATTCAATCCCCAGAAAAGTAAATCCAGATTTGGGGAATGTGAGACGCATCAAGATTGGCCCCTTAAATCTACCCCTTCATCTGCAAGCTGCTGAGTTAGGACCAAACCCTGCTGGGTACACTCACACCAGTCAGTCCCCACTGGCTGGAGATACACAAAGTGGGCATACAGGCTTTGGGCAAAAGAAATGAGGTGTGCCAGTATCACGCAGCCATATGCATGTGATAGCAGAGAGGAACAAAGAGCATAGGGGTGCCACAGGGACCATCGCGGGCCCTTGTCAGCTCAGCTCTGTGTCACCTTCCCTCCCACGGAGTTAACTGTCTGTGCTGCCTCCACCTTCCCCCATCCCACCCTGCAGCAAGTTTCTGCTTATGCCATCTGGCTCGCAGGAGGGAGGTGATGTGCATATAAATTGATTAGCAGGAGCACATGAGGATCCCCAGTGTGACATACTGGTGGGTACTAGGGGAGGGTTGAATTAATTTTGAGTGATCTGTGGGGACAAGTCTCTGTCTCAAACATGTGGCACCAAGAAAACACTTTCTGCGTTTCTCTTTTAGCCAGCATGTTACATAGCAAGAAGTGTGAGCTTGTCACTGGTGCAAATCGCTATTGCTCTAAACTCAGTGTAATGCACATGCACAGCACCAAGGAAGCAGCCCAGTATGCAGGGAGCTTGCTAAGGAGTGCTACGAGCTAGACTGATGCCCTTGCCCCGGTAAGAGCAGGGTATTGCCCAGGCAGGCTCACTGAAGCCAGTGAGGCTATTGCCAACTTATCGTCTCAAAGATGCTTAGAGAGTGTGGATAGGTTTTCGCATTTCCAACAATGCAAGCAGTGCCTCCCTGGAAAACGTTTTCTGGAGGAGAGGAAGCTATTGCCAGAAGAAGCAGGCCTTGCACAGGCAGGGCTCCCAGGTGTACAGGTCCAGCTGTGGCTGCACTAGGACACATCAGGTGCTGATGCAACGGCCAATGCTAGCGTATCTCTTTGGGCAGCTGATTTCCACCTTCGGGTGTTTGGCAGACTTGGCCTCTAAGGGTTAGAAGTAAATTTCCCATCCATTTCTTTTTTTCTTTTCTAAGCTGACCATTCCCGTTAACTGCAAAATGTCCCATTTCTGTGCTGCAGCAAAATCTTCACACAGCAGGTTGTGTTTAATTATTCATTTTCTGAGGAAAAACAATCTTCCTTCCCCTTTCAAATCTGTTCCCTTCCAATACAATCAAACCTCTCCATGCTCATTAGTGTTCACCTTGCTTCTCCTCTTTACCCTTTCCTTTCTTTAAAAAAAGATATATCATCAGCCTTTTCTTAACCGAGCACTCACAATTCTTTGTAGACTTGGCCTTCTTCAAACCCCTGTCTCCAAACCCCTTTAGTTTTTATCTTATCTGCCAGGCCATAAGGTGATCAGAACTGGACTTTGCTTTCAAGGGCTAATTCATATAGGTTTTGAGGGGTTCCCCCCCCCACCCCGGAAGTCTGCCTGTTAAGTCAGAGTCCTCATTGCTTCAGGTTCAGGGGTCCAGGTAATGCTAGCAGGCAGTGCCATTGGGAATCGAAGGGGCTTGGAAATTTGCCTCTGGACCGGTACAACAGGAGAGCTCTACCCTTCTCATGCTGGCTGAGGTGCACATTGTACGCATGGTGCAACTGTGCAGTGAGCACATTGAATTTGTGCATAGAACGATTCGTCCATGGATTGAGTTTGAGCTCAGGGTGTTGAATACAGCCTGCAATTTCCTTTTGCTTCTGGAGACCTATATCTATAAGGAATCTGAAGACACCCCTGTATCAGAAAGTGCGTCATGATCCCCCGGATGGGAGGGGATGCCCAGGTCACTCCGGATGTCGTTCATCAAGATGTTGACTTCAGGGGTAAAACTGGCTCGAGATATCCTCACTCGTTCTCAGTTACTTGTTTTCTCCTCTCTGGTGCCCACCACCTCCGTTGTCCTGATCCAAGGGCTTGTAGGCTGCACGTAAAACTGCTCGCTGAATTGATCTCAGTTCAAAGTAGCACCTTTTTGGAGGGTACTTTTGAACCAATGTAGTGATTTGCTTCAAAGCTCTTCCCCGCACACCATTGTGCTGGCACAGCCAGAGAGGCTGGTGGCTGCACGTTGCAGCAGGGCCTTCCGGTGTCAGCTTTGCCACTAAGCCAGCTTCCCATAGACGTACATCCAAAATCTACAGCAAGCAGGACCATGCTAGTAGGGATGGTAGTTCAGCATATCAGCTCAGCAGGGTTTCCATGCTCGAGTGCCTCGCTAGGCTAAAACAGTCAAACGGCATCCCGACCTGAGCTGGCTCGCTCAAGTAGGCATGCTGTGCTCGCCATGCGGGGGTTAGCATGCATCAAGCAAGCCAGATCCTGCCTGCCCTTGGCAAGCTAGACAGGCCTTTTGGCTTTCTGTGGGGGAGCTCATTCCACAAAAAATACAGGCTCTTAAAAAAACAATCCCAAAGTTACACAGAGAGCAAGTTTTACTGATATTTGGTGTGTTTATGATGGAAACATTCTGCAATTTACCACTGTTCATTTATTCTCTTACAGGTTGGCTGCAAAGTCATGATGGTTTTCTTTCAGTACTGCATCATGGCCAACTTCTTCTGGCTGCTTGTAGAAGGCTTGTATCTTCATACCCTGTTGGTCATCTCCTTCTTTTCAGAGAGGAAGTACTTTTGGTGGTACATCTTGATTGGCTGGGGTACGCATCTTCTCAAACTTCAGTGCCAGGAGGTGATCCTGGCAGGCATTTTTAACAGCAGTTTAAAGGGTATGGTGGTGAGGATGGGGGTTTATTGACAGTCACCAGGAGACTCTGTCCAGCCTGCAAACTGCATGTGACTGTGAGCCACAGCTGCTAGGTTAGGTCCTGCAAAGTCGTGTTCATGCTCTGCAACGTAGCTCGGCAGGTATCCCAAAGTCGGTATCGTGCACGGTCCTTAAATTGTAAGGGTGGAGCCTAAAGCAAAGCCAGACTCCTGGATTGAACCCTTCCAACAGACACTGTAATCCCTCACTCCCTCCCTGCATTCAGTCTAGCTGTCCACAGAGATCCCATTGCCTGAATGCTGATGCTGATAACCTTTTGCTTATTGCATTCATGATTTCTCCATCTTTAATATGAATCAAATCTCGGACACATAAAAATGATATAAAATAAAATAAATGAATGACCAAATGCCAAGGAGGACAAAATGAAACAGCACAAAGTTGCCCAGAGCTGAAATGCTAACTTATGCAAATTAATCCTACCGCACCAGCGGAGATCTCTTTTCCCCTTTAAGCTTTTTAGCTTAAGGTTTATATATAAGCGAGCAAAATAGCTCTCTGTTCCACGTTCTCGATAGCTGAAACCAGGAAATAATTAGAGCGGGGAATAATCCTGAAAAGTAAAAAAAGCATTTGTGTCATGTACCGGGGTATGCCCGGACTCAGGATTTGATCAATTAGCCATACAGTAACTTCCATCGAAAGTGACAGGAGTTAACGCTTGGGTTCACACTGCATAAGAGAGATTGTTCTCAGTGCTATAAGCATGTGCAGAGGTGATGTTAGCAGGCTTTGTTTCAGATGCGGTTAATCAGGTCAGACCTTCTTTAAACCCACCTTGCTCACAGGTACTCTTTCTCTCGGCACAGTAGAGCTGGAAGATTTTAAATAAATTTTTGTGCAGCTAATGATTTCAAATCAAAGAGAATCTATTGCACTTACATGTGTATAGACAATTCTTACATATACAGGAGACGCCTTGAGAAATTCTGAGGTTGTTCGGGTGAGGAAGGACAATTCAAGGAAAGGACGGGTGCCCAAAGGAACTTTTGGCATTTCACTCATCCATCATTTGCAAGAGGTTCAGTGACAAATCTGACGTGCCTTGTGCAAGAACTGATGTTTTGGACACCCTCGTTGTAGTTTTTAACTGTTTGTATTACCTTTACACTCAGAAATCACAATATACAACATGAAATACTGTGAGTAACAGAACAAAGAGAATTTTTCCTTCCTGGAGCATTTCCTATCTAAATCTAATCAAGAACAACGGACGGAGCTAGAGAAAAGAGGGACTAGCAGGACGTAACAAGACCGCTCTAGTTAGGCAGTAGATCATGGAGTGAGGGGCAGAAATAGATTCATCTGGCCAACTACAGATATCTAGTCACTACAGGATCCCCTTATAGTTAGTGGAGATACAATCAATACAGTCAAGGTGGTCCAGGGGAATATTTCTTGTCATAAAACAAACATCTAAAGTAGCTCAGAACTGCATCGTAGAAGTACATACTTCTCCCCATTGATGCTAAAGCAGTAACTGGCTTAGATGCAGATGTTGTACGCTGTAGATATCTCAAGTGAGATGAGATGACGCCTATTCCTTATGTTGCACCATCATCAGTTTTTTGTAGGCATTGCAACAGAAGGATAAATCAGGTAGGGAGCACATTACAGGAAACTCATCTTACATGGTCAGGGAGAGAGAAAGGCAACCTGTTGCTTGTTTGGCGTGTGAGCACTGAAGACGTGACATATTTGCACATTGTTAAGGGAAGCCACCATCTCAGTCATTCAGAAGAGATGATGGAGAGTGGGGGAGAGCAGCCTTGAAAACATGGATAACGATTTGTGTCAGTAATGCCATCTCTTCTCTTGTCAGGTGCCCCTTCTGTGTTCATCACCGCTTGGACTGTTGTCAGGATTTACTTTTTTGATGTTGGGTAAGCCTATGGACTCTGTTCTCATTCCTTTATAACTGAGGTATCTTCAGGGAAGGCCAAGGGAAGCTCTGCAGTTTGAGTAACCCAGTCATCTTCCTGACCTAACCCCCAAGGGCAGTCGGAGTACAGCCGAGGCATTTCCCAACACCCGGGAAACACTCCCAGGCCTCCATGAAGACATGTACTTTATGTAAACTTAGGCTAAAATCATGCGTGGGCTATGGTGTTTGTTTATGTAAACTTAGGCTAAAATCATGCATGGGCTATGGGCTGTTAGGAACGATGGTGTTTGGATTTGAAGTATTAGGAGGATATGTCAAATATGTTAACCAAAATTGACCTGCATTTATATTACTGGAGTTACCTTATGGATTGATTTGATTAAATAAGTTTCCCCAAAATGATCGTCACACTCCTGGAAGAACACTCTAGAAGTTGAAAATGTGGGATTTGGTTCTAAATATCAGCATTTTCCGTAGGTAATTCCTCTGATATTAAAGTGAATGGGGAACGAGGCACAGGTTTATCAGAGGAGGGAAGATGCTGAGCAGTCTTGCACTCACATATTCATTAGCACAATCAGCACATGCTCCAGTGCACATGACAGGGGAATAACCTCGAGCTGGTGGAGCTCTCCTTCCTCCCATCCAGGTCACATCTGGATGGGCCTTGGGAACTTCCTCCTGGACAGATTCCTACTGACCTTTCCACCCTGCTGAGCATGAGCAAGGCGACCACCAGGAACTTGAGCGTCATTAGCACTACTGTCACCTTGGTAGCATGGATTTTACTTCATGCTACCCACTTGGGCTGGCGGATGCCAATCGTGATGCCACTGCAGCAAAGCACTTCATTTCCTCTTGCTGCCCCGTTACTGTCTTCACTGCAGCCTTATTTGTACAGGAGAATAAAAAACAGACCTCTGGGCAGACTCATTGTTCTGTGAAAGTTAAATGAGGGTCACGTGCTACCATTACTGTTGTTGGCATTTCCTACAAGTCCTTAGTTTATTGTTGAATTTAGAGAGGTGCTTTGTGGCTTGTAGTGCGAAGGGTTGTGTAAAACTGATGATCTTTGGACCCATTTCTAATTAAAAAGCTCTTAGAAGGATGTCTGCTATTTCAAGGAGATCACTGGATGACCCAGATGGTCCCACTTGGTCCTGTGGTCCTACATAAGCAAAGATACCAACTGAGCACCTCCCCCACGTGCTTTGCATCCTGCAGAAATGACCCTGTGTAGGCTAGCGCAGCAGAAATTGAATAAACACCCATTAGCTCTCCCACTGAAAACACTAAAACACTTTTTCCTTTTGCCCCAAACATATCTTTGGATCTCTTTTTCATCTTCTTTAATGAAACAACTGCCTTTGATACTTTATATAAGAAGCAGCTAAAATAGCTAACTAAATGGGGCAGATATTAGAGGGACCCAAGGATATATGCAAGTAAATAGGATCTGATCCTCCAGTCCTCCCTCATGCTTTCGCTCAAGCAGTCAAACTAGAGTAATTTTAAAGGCTTTTATGAGAAAACACTCTGGAGAATTACAGAATCAGGTGCTCATTATGTACTCACTGTGCATGCCCTCTCTTCTTGCGTTTACAGCATATGGTTAACTCCATTTTCTCCCTTGCATTCTCTTTCTCCAAATGTGTCTTGATTTGTCCTTATTTCAGGGAGAGAAGCAGCTCAAATTTCACATTGTGTTTTTGATGTATAGTCATGCTAACACATTTCCTGAGGGTTACTGACTTCTTTTATGGTTTCACTCTGTCTGCATAAGACTGACCTTATTTAGTCCATTAATAAATAGCCTCTGTAACGAGACAGACTTCAGGATTTAACCACTCTGGCTACCAGAGTTTTAGTGTATATCCCCACTCAGCTCCAGCAGGTCATATTAAAAATACTGACTTTCCTTGCATTTTCCTGGGGCTTTAAAGCCCTACTTTTTTGTGCAAAGTAAATCAGGATGTGAATTTACAGGATATGCTAATACCTATTGTAGGTTTTTTTTTGGTATGGGGGGGATTTGGTTTTTTTTTTTTTTTTTTTTTTTTTTTTTTTTTTTTGGCATATTAAAATTACCTACATAGAGAAATTACAGGAAATTAATCCAGATTAAATAAAAGCCTAATTATGTAGAATTAGTTAAAAAGTGCATTAAACCCCTATTTAAACATTCTAGCTCCAAATTAAAGTGACCTTTATTTAGACTGCCTGAATTCATTTTGAAAGTGAAGTGCACTAGATATAATTAGGATCACTTTATTTCTGAATGAAAGGGTAGCATGCACCTGACTAAGTATAAACATCTGCATCTGATCAATTCATATTGGTCTCCATTTATAGCTGGTGGAGGTCTAGTCAGTGTAGCCCACAGAGTGTAATTCTTTTCATCCTACAGTCGAAGCCTAAAATCGACCATTATTTGCACTGTCAGAATTTAGAGTTAAATGAGGTAAATCCAGCCCAAACTGTGTACAGCAGGTTCCGTTAATCTATTTCAAACATGAACGCAGGTCGATTTTCATGAATGTTCTCCTAAAAATGAGCCTTCAATCATTTGATAGTTGTGAAATCTGTGGAGAAATGTGTTCCAAGTAATGGTCATAGCTTTCACTTTATTCCTATTCTGTCGTTCACATGTTGGCTTTAAAATGTGTTTCCAGATTATCTAGGTGAGCGGTACGGTTTGCAGACTACCGCAAGCTGATCCTTTCTCTCTGAAAGATGCATTCATCATTTTTGAGTAACCAGTAGTCCACTGCACACTGTCGCTCAAATAATTAATGACTCTACCTCAGTTGAAGTCTTTTGGGCTGTGGAGGAATCATGATGCTCTCTTGTACTATTTCTTAGGTTTTATGAAATTTTCTTCTGTTTAATTTCACTTTAATTCGAACCATGAGACTCACTTTCAGTCTTGAATCCATTTCCAAACTCAGCCAGTCTTCCACTGGTCTGGAATTTCAGGTTTGCTCCGGTGATGTCTGAGTGAGTCTGATCACGCTGTCACATGCAGAAGCCCAATTTGCTCATTTTAAATTCCACATTAACCCTTGACATGCTCAGAGCCTTGTGAGAATACCTTGAACACCGCGTCATTGTTCCGCTCCTCTGTAGGCATGAAAAATCACAAGTCCTGATGGAGAATCGTAGTTTTTGGAGATGACACACTCAAGGACGGGTCATTGTGACTCCAGTGAATTCAGGCTTCAAATAAATGAAATCACCTCCTATATAAAATAACAGATAACTTACCAGCCTGATCACAAAAGTATCCTTCTGGATATTTCCTCTATGACTCAAAGGCTGAGAGATGCGTTGCTAGAATTTGTCTGCTGGATAGCAGCTGCTCTTGGAATTTCTAATAAACCCGTGTGAGATTTTTCCAAATTCTGTTTACAGTGGCAAATATCTTTTAAATGGGCTAAGTATTGTTCTGAAGTCAGCCTTTTATATGAAAAAAATGTTAAAATAAACATCTAAAAGCATGAAAATAAATATTTTGGGGAAAGGAATGATGGATAGTTCATTTCACTCATAGATGTATGAAATATGTATAGTCTAGTCTGCTTCATCTCCCTTTCTGATCAGTAAAGAGAAATAGACACTTTGGGAGTTTGATTCATTTTCTCACCTGCATTCTGACTTTAGGATGAAATAAATCAAACCCTGGACCTTATGGACTCATTTGACTAGACCTATAGCTCGGAGGTAGCTAGTTAAATTTAATCAGACGACGTCAGGCTTTCTGTCCTCTTCTTCAGAAGGGTGTGGCTTTGTTCTGATGGTGCTAATTTCTCTGTGCTTAACAAAATCCCCATCGATGATAATGGATAGTATCAGAGTCCCCACAAGTCTTGATTTTGATAACATTTCCTTCTAGCAGACCTCAGCGTAGGACAAAGTGAATCTCTGTCCTCCACACATTCATCCTGGCATAGCATCTTCTGGCCAATGCTACTGCCCAGAGTACCAGTAGCAGCCAAGGGCGAAAGAGGTCATAACATTATACCTAGGTAAGTGCTACCTACCAGTCCTCGAAGCCACTGCAAAATAAATCTTCAGCCCTTCCCAATTCACGCACACCAGGTTTAGTCCTCTTCAAATAACCTAGCAGGCCTACCTTTTGTAATCAGGGAAAACAAGTACCTGAGAAAATTATATAGCTGCTTGCTTGCTTTACTTGATATTTTTAAGTCATCTCTATTTTTTTTTTTTTTTAGGTGCTGGGAGGAAATAATGGAATCCCCATTCTGGTGGATCATTAAAACTCCTATTTTGGTGTCTATTTTGGTAAAGTATCAGTACATTCCACTGGCTGAAAAACCCTCTTTAATACTAAGTAGGGAGGGAGATGGGGCTTGAGAAGTGTTCTGTAAAAGCCACCTGCAGACACCAAAAAAGTCCATGGAAAATGTGTTGACAGATAACATCCCAGTGAATACGGAAGGTCTGTGTCGATTTGACATCTTTATCCTTAAATGCTAATTATGGAAAAAGTTTGAGTTATTGAGCAACTGAGATGGAACTCATTTCATTTAACTGTGGACACCTCCATCTCAGCTAGTCACCCTGAGCGCTCTAGTGCGGTAGCCATGGGTATGTGTAGCCAGTGGCAATCTCGGACTATGATTCTAGTTCCAGGAAAGGCTCAACTTCTCTGATGAATCAATGGATGCCTAAATTAGATCAGATGAATTGTTCCGTGCGTGTTTTTGTTTCTCTGAGCTGGCCATATGGAGAGCCCAGGGTGACTTGTTCAGTTGCAGGTGTCAGCACTGCAAAGGAGTAGGGGCCGAGTCCTACCTTGAATTTGTACCTAGCTAAAAAGGTTAGATTCATTCCCCCAGATATTCACGTCTTCTTATAGCGTCCAGTACACAGTTGGATTCCAGCTGTGTGTTTTAGAAGTAAGCACCTGAGAGGCTTGGCTAATTGCAAGGGAAGTCAACAGAAGTGTTTGGCTCCCTTATCCAGAGATGATCAGTTCTGGCCATAGACATGACACTTCAGAGGAACTCTAAATACGTCTACTCTTGTTGAATATTACGCATTTCCTCTGTCACTTACTGAGCCCAAGCATGAAATCAGATGAACCTGAGTTAAATTTAGCTTTGAGTTTTCTCAGATCAAAGCAAGTATGTGTAGGAGATAAGAAAAATGAAAGCAACACAAATAAAACCGAATATATTTCTTTCAAACTGAAATCTTTTCTCAGACATACATTTTCCTTACTCCACATACATTATGCCCATTGCAAGAAGACCTTTCCTATAGCATTTCTTATACAAGCATCCCAAAATGAAACATTTTAAATAATTGCTTCTTACTTTATTTACTGTACTGAAAAGAAATAAAATATCTAGATTACACATCTCAAAATACATGTATCATCATAGAGAGCTACAGATAGCATTTTCCCTTTCCTGAGCTAACTTTTCGGTAAAGAAATACACCCTGGTCTCCTAGGACCGGCAAGTCTATGTTTTCTTCTGCCCAGTAAATCATTTCCAAACAAAATCTACCCAGCAGTATCTGATTTTCCTTCTGCAGATATTATATAAATCTGTCACAAAGGAAGGACATGAAAACAGCTATCGGATGCATAGCAGGTTTCTGCAAGGAGGAGCGTAACATTTATCTCCGTGTCCACTGGAATAAAGCATAGACTTCAACTGAAGGAAGACATATATAGCTTAAACATTAGAAAAATGTTTCCAGCCTAAATATATTTAAGCACAGTGAAGAGATCAAGAGCCTTTGATCCTATTCTAGATTGAGAAATAAACTAGACAACTTCTCCAGTTGCCTGACAGGCATATCCTCTATCGTTCAGCGCTAAGGCCTTACTAAGCTTGCAATCACACTCCATCTGACTCACCGCTGCCGTCTTTCTTTATGTGTCCAGTGTTTGCTCTTGACTGCTATGAGCTGACGCGGTATTTAACACTTAGCGGGAGCCTGGGAAGCAGCTCAGATCTTATCTTCAGTACTACAGCCTATGTGCTACCAATTCTGATTAAATCCACAGATCTAGATAGTTCTGTTCGGAACGGATAAATTTTACTTGTCATCAAGTCAGATGCAAACCATTTTTTATAAGCAAATAAATAGGAACAGAAAGGAAAATACATGGTATGGGATAGATAATGGGAAAAAGCAATAATTGCATCGTAATCAAGAAATACAGTTAGTTTTCAGTCACTCGTAGCCTTTGAGCAAAGAAAGAATGTGTAAATGAGAGCTATGCCTTTGCGTAGTGCATTCACCTGTTGTTCAGATAAATGTAGGCGTTGCTGGAGGAAATTTTACAAACTATTTTTGTAGGAAAGCAGATTAGCTGGTTAACACAATCCCTTCCAGCCCTTAAATATCTAAAAATCAGAAACATTTGTGCATTCACTGACCATGAAAAGATTAAAAATAGAGGTTACATGCTAAATTAAACTAAGTCCACAGAAGCCTGTCATCACTTTTCTGCTGCATATATTGTGTGAATAACAGCCTGATTCAGTGGATAGGACTTTAAAAGTGGATAAATATGCATTCAACGCATGCCGTCTACTATATGCCTTTAAGAAATTCGCATCCCTGTTTCTACGCCTTTGCAACAAGATAAGTTTAACATTGCTTGTGTATTTTAGTAGAGCACTTTGAGGGCTCTTTCAGTGAAAAGCACCATCTAAAATTTAGGTATTAGCTAGATTCCTCTGGGCTAGCCTGGTCTAATCTAGTAGGAGAGAAAGTTTTCCACTATGTCGTTCTGTCCCAAGGTCTCCAGCTTGTCTCCGGAAGACACATGCCCAATAGCATCAAGTAGGGCCTGCTTGAGTAGATACTGCTTTGTGTTTTGTTTTGGTTTCTTTGGCTCACTGCCTCACCCTCAGTCTTGACATGCTCAGCAGCAGGTCGCATGTCACCGTCTCCCGAGGGCTTTGATGTCCGTCGCTCCGCTCACTCCCAAGGCTCTTTTCCCACCCTGTCGTCGGCACACCCCCGTGCAGCAGGACGTCGTGCATAGCTGTGCTCTATGGGTTTGACATCATCATACTTGGGATGTATGACACAAAGTCCCAAGCAGGCTGATGTCAGGCCCAAGCTGGCTGCCATCCTGTGTCGGTTTACTATGTGCTCACAGATTGGGGGTCTCTGCTCATGGCTTTTTAACAACAGCTTGCTCCATGGCAAAAATATTACAGTGAAAGGAAGCCCCTCTAACGATCAGCTCTTTTCACTGGAGAAAAATACTATGGGAGAATAATTTTTGGTTTTTTTTTCTCTCTATATATCTCTTTTCTCCCTATCCTGACAGGTGAACTTCATTCTCTTCATTTGCATTATCCGTATCCTAGTCCAGAAGTTGCATTCACCAGATGTCGGGCACAACGAAACCAGCCAATATTCGTAAGTCCTAGACTTTTTCAGCCATATTCTATGACTTCGGGGAGCCTGTTTGGTTGGGCTGTTAGTTAGACCAAGGAGTAGTTCAGCTGTCTGTATCTGACAGATCAAAATCATGCATTCTTTAATTGATTAAAGACGGTCGGAAATCAGGAAATGGGACATCTGCTAAAATGGCTGGGCATGTTTTATGTCAGTTTCACCAGGCAGACAAGAAGGCTTTCTCCTGGGATTAGCAATGAAGAAGTGAGAGGAACAGTAATGATCATGAAAAATAAAAAGGGCTTTTCGTTTTTAGATTCAATATTTATTGGAGTCTGAAGCCAGAGGGAGACTCTGATGGGGAACAAAGAGCAGCAAATTTCCCTTATCCTAAAGAAGATCCCTGAACTAGATGAGATGAATCCATCCCAAAATGTAGCCATTTCTCTTCACTGTTGAGAAGTAGCACCAGCTCAGAAGTTTTGCTTAGCATAAAACTTTTATTCCAGGGATGTAAGGTTGACCGTAGTGCAACTATTGATAATGAACAGCACGCAGGCAAAATGAGCATCTGTCTCAGTGGCCAAGATTGGTCTCAGCTGCAACATTTTCAGTGTGCAAAAAATCTGTCTACCCCCATGGATTTATTCTACCTTCAATGCAAATAAAATAAAAGTTCAAGCTTCCGCTCCTTTTTGCCTCTCACCACTGTCCTGGCTCAGTATTTCAAATATCCTGGATATATCTTAAAGGATTCCTAGAAAAGAACTGAAATGGAAAGAGAATCCAGTGTCTACCTAGTCACTGCTCATAAAATATTCTTAGTGTATGGAAGGAGCCTAGGCTAGGTACCTTGAAGGATCTGAACTCAATTCATGCTTCTGCAAGATGGAAGAATTAATGTCAATATGGTCCTTAAACACTGACCGACCACAATACTGAGTCTCTCTTTCTAGTGACAGTAAATTCACTCCTAGACACTCTCAAATTTATGATGGTATATTCCAGTATTTGACCTTAACTTCTCCCTGAAGTAGCCAGAACCAATTACTCTTTTTCCGTCGTCACTAACAAGCCGGCATTATTGGTCCCTGTGCTTTCTACCACATCCGTTTATGCATTTGCAATTGGGTATTGTATCTTCCTAGCCTAAGGACTGTGACAGCTTTGGCCAGGTACATAGATTAAATCAGCATATTGAAATATGTTCTCGTACTAAGTAGCACTGTCAAAGACTGTATCCCAGTCTTGAGCGATTGGCTCCCATTCATCTCCCTAGAAGTGCTGCTGACATGCACAGGAAGGGTTATGCCCTGATTACCTATGAGGTCAAGCAGAGCTTTGGGCTTAGGGCTTCTTTTCTTCACATTTTCAAGGGAAGGGGAAGCTGCCAGAAAAATCTCTTTGCCTTCTAAGCAAGCCTTGCATGGCAGGGCAGTAACATGGACTTCCCCACTGTAGCCTGACAAGCAGGAGCCATTTCTGAAGTACAAATGATCTTGACAGCATCTTCAGTTTCTCACCATCCTCCTCTCTCTGGAAGCTTACGCATCTCAGATGGCACTAGGTGCCTATATTTAGGCAAATAAATATTCCCGTCCTCTGCACTGTCTAACCTTGGAGTCATTGCTCTTTCCATTCTCTTCAGAGTCTGAGATGAAACAGCCGTTATCACTCACTGCTTCTAATTCAAGCACCTTGTTAGACTTGACAGCTAAGATATCTGAGATTCCACTCTCAGATTATGACACACAAATTTAGGTGTCTAAGCATGAGCTGAGAGTCTAAACTACATCATAGTCATTTGAGATCTAGGGCTTGAATGAGGTGCCCACACGTAGGCATCCAAAGGCATATAAGATGCCTTAGGACATTTGAGATACTTGCCCGGCCCTGGCATATAGGACATAGGACCTATGGGAGCCTTGGAGCCTTATACAGTGGTCGCTGGCCATCAGCCAGGCTCCTCTAGGGCATCTAAAAGGCTCCATTGAATGCATTGACTGCGGTGGGACCCTGGAGACCACACTCCACTCACCCATACAATTAACATTAACTGTCTCAATCTGAAGGTTGGATCCCACCCAGGGGGAGGAGGTCTGAGTGCAGTCCTAAGTTTTTAATATTTTGACACCTCACTGCAGAGGCATTTGGAGTCCAGACCCTTTTCCACATGCTGTCAGTTATGCTATCTGCAATTTTAGGTACCAGGATCCTTTTACATATCAAACCCTTAGTACCTGAAATGTTGCTGCTAGCTTGGGGGGTTTGGCCTGGATGACCCAAGAGGCCTTACCAAAAACTGTTGCAAATGCTATGTGTGGGTTCCCCCTGCCAAATCTGGGATAAATATATTCTACTCTAACAAGATCAGGTATCTCTCATTTACATTTCTCCCTCCTTCTCTTATGTTTCTTTCTTCCTTACTTTGTTTATTTTTAAAAAATAACATGTTGACATGTTGACAGTATTGTTCAGTTCCAACCGGTTTCAGTTTAGCTGCAGGCTGGACGTTCAGGTGTGCTGCTGACTCACTCATTAATGCTACAGACACTGAACTGGGCTTTAATGTATTGGAAACTGTGAAAGCACGTCTCCTAAAACGGTCTTCTGGAAATGACAGAGACTCGCACAGGAACGGGACAGCAATACTTCAGGCAAATAGAATGAGAAAACACCTCGTCTTCTGTAATAGAAATCTTGAGCAAAATTCATCTCATTCTATTCTGTACATGTTCGTAGATCAATATTATTATCACAGCTTTCTGGGCAACTTTCCTTTATGTGTTCAGGAGTACGGCTAGGTTAAGGTTCATTCTTATCCACTCCCAAGAAGAGGAGTAGGTTTAGTGCAGGCTAATGGAGGTGTATTTTCCCTAAATTATCTGTCACCATAAATCTATCAGAGAGGGTAGGTCTAAGAAGTGCACCTTGTGCTAGGAGTGGAAGCTAATGAGATTTCTGAGAACCCGTGGCAGGCAGCGTTAACCAGCTTTGGCCAACGTCCCAGGCAATTCTACCTGCTGCGCAGTCAGGCTTTAGCCTGCTGGAAGAAAGCCACCATGCGTGAGGAAGATAATTTCTGAAAACGTGCCTCACTGCAGGGTTTTGGGAGGTCAGGCCACAGAGACCGTGCCTTGAAGCCAACATGAGAGCTGAAACATAGCTCAGTATTCTGAGGGAGCTCAGTGTTGGGAGCAAGAGACTGATTTGGTGTGTTGTACAAATTGGAGGATGGGGCTCCTAACAGGGCTTATAGGCCCTGTTCATTGCTATAGTTCAGCTGGGAGGGAAAAAAGCCGTAACCGAGGCCTTGCTGTTATCCGCACTGATAAGACAGAATTTTCTAGTCAGTTGAAGGCTGTAAACAGCATTTCTATGAATATAAAAGAAGGTAGCATTGCATCGAACTCCTCCAGGATAGCTTATTCCTGAAAGACTGGAGAGAAAGGAGGGGAGAAATCCTTGCAAAGCCAGTAGGGGTGCTCACTGAAGTGTGATCTGCTTAGAAAGTGATTTGCTTTCTCATATGTCAGAAGCTGGGGGGAACTAGGGCTAGATCTCCTGGATGTCTGGATCACGCTGGCCAGAGCAGCTTCTGACTGCAAGGAACATGGTACTCTCATCAGTCAGTCATGGCAGTGACTGTCCTTACTCCCCTGGGGACAGGACATCCTCTGGCAGAGCAGAACATAGGAGGACTCGGGTTTTGGATGCACTCACTACAAGAGACATGCCTGCTAGTGAGAGATGCAGTGTGAAAGGCAAATTCTTGGGAAGTTTCTCAGCTTCCTAAAGGCATTAGTTTTCCCTAGAATAGGTTGCAGCCAGCTGCTTTCCAGCCATGTTGTCATCTAGGTTTTCCCCAGGGAACCACAGCCTTTAACCAATGCCTTAATGTCAAACTGTCTTTGGGCCAGGCCCAAGGAAAGCTGGAAAGGTCTGTTGGGAGATAAAGTGATGAGCGTCATCTGCATAAAACTGGCACATCAGCCTTCCCAGCAGGCTTATACAGATGGTAAATAAATGAAGATGGTCTGGGAGGACTGAGCCTGATGGGACTTTGGAGGGGAAGGGTTTGCAGATGGAAGAAAAGTACTTCTGACGTTCCAGCCTTAGCTTCAATTCCTCCAGAAGCCTCTGGAAGAGGGGAACACAGGAGGATGTGAGTGACTAAGGGGCCCAGAACCCCCTGAGACATCCTTAAGTCTTTTACTTCAATTTATTTTTGCCAGCTAGATTTTAATAATAATTAGATTTAATAAATTATAATCTCTTCCTAATTAGACCTCCGATTACCCTGCTTGGTGCCGTTAAGCACTAATATTGTTCATCCCCCTCCTTTGGAGACATTCATTGTGCGATAGCCTGTCATTATTCTGAGCTAAACATACCATTTCTCTCCCAGAAGCTGTAATTTTCAGAAATCCCAAGCAAACAAAGACAGCGCTAGATGATGGTTTAGCTTGTATAGATGAAAAAAGATCTCCAGTGGGAGGGGAAGAAGGGAGGAAGAGGGAAAGAAATACCTCCATTGAAGGTGCTGTGAATAAAGATGTCACATTTTATGTTGTCACCACATCTGAAATAACCAGCCATCTGCAGTCTGCGGGCCAAGGAGAAATAATGTAGGGCTGCTCGTTATGCCTCAGCTGAAGGCACACGTATTTTCTTTGAGAGCTGTTAACAAAGAGGGAACTAAGCCTGTGGAAATCCTCCCAGCACAGTCCTTGGTTGCTGTGAGCTGGCATAAGTTGACGGTGCCCAGCTGAGAATATGGCTCCCCATTTCATCACATCACAGCCCAGATCTTTGGAGGGATCCTTGGCAGCTTGGGCTGTGAGGAGCTGATCTCAACTCTACCCCCAACATCCCCAAGCCTTTCTGGCTTGGGCAGCTTCCTGTCACTGTCTGGCACTGGGCAGCTGGTGAAAGGCCAGACGTTCCCTGGACCTCAGTGTAAGTGTTCACATCTCCTAAAGGGAAACAAAGGCACTTACCTTTCTTCATATAGGCTACACCATTGTGATCTATCATCTGACCAGGTAATTGCCAAATATGTAGCACAACAGATTAAAGTTTCAGGGTTGCACAAGCTTCAGCTGCAGGTTTTCTCATCAGCTTGTCCTATAACTTCTCTTTTTTCCTTCCTTCCTTTTATGGCTTATGTTTTTCTTTCCAACAGGAGACTGGCCAAGTCCACCTTGCTGCTGATCCCTCTCTTTGGCATTCACTACATCATGTTTGCTTTCTTCCCTGACAATTTCAAAGCAGAAGTTAAGCTTGTCTTTGAGCTCGTGGTTGGATCATTCCAGGTAAGCCATCCTTTGGGCCACCAGGTCAATTGGCACAGATAAATGTAACAAGAAGGACAAGGAGAATAAGCAAACATGTGAGATGGGGTTTCCATGAACATGTCCAATAGTGTTCTTATATCTTTGAGGAAAAAGCTACTCACTCCAATGGGGCAAAGATGGGAGATTATATTTTGCCTCCTGGAATTCCAGGGTCCTCCTTTAGGCATCCAAAAGGAAAATTTACCTCTGTGAGCTAGTCCCCCCAGGGCTTTTCATACTTAAGAGAGGAAAGATAGCACCTCAGTTCAACTGATCTGGTATATACACTGTAAGATGAAATAAATCACCTTCAAGCAGAGTGTCTTTCTGGCCATTAAAGGAGCTTGGTCCATCTTTGACCAGTTGACTTGCACCCACTCTCTCTTCTGTTTGTTATAAGTGAAGTCCGGCGTTTAGATCCTGTCCAGGCAGGGTTGCAGCTCATTGGTGTAGGAGGCTGGTTTACTGTCAGGATGGATAATGAGGTTGTCCTCTGCATTAATCTTGAGGAAGCCATGTTTGAGTCTGCTTTTTAGACCCTCCCACACACTTCATTTCAGTCAGTTCCGGTGTTGAGTTGTTAACCTTGGCCCTGGTGTTGCATGAAAAGAAGCCCTTATTTATGCATTTCATACTACTGCATCCATCCGTTAGTCAGCTCTAGCCACTTTGTGTTCTCACAGTTTGCAGGCAGGATCTGTGTGTTACAGTCGACCCATATATGTCAAATGGTATGCTTTATTCGGTGGTGAATCAGTTAATGTCCATGTTTACATCATTGTCACTTTATGTCTGACATCACTCCTTTGAGAGATAAATGGACCTACTCAGAGCTCTTGTTTCAAGTAGACGTCTGTGAATTGCCTTCAGTGTTCACAACTGTAAGGGCGAGAGGCAAGTTTTATTTTACTCTTTCAGGGAAAGGTGGGAGTCTGGAAAATGAGATGTCACCGTAGGTGAGATAGGAATGGAACAGTTTAAGCCCTACACTACACCAGAAGTTATTCTGGCCTCGATGGTTAGCAGGGTTAGATCTCTCCATGCCAAGACCATGCAGGAGAGCTGAGTCTAGTATCCCATCCACTTGCCTTTCAGGCCCCAGTCTGAATGACCAGGTACCCCATGTAGAGCTGAGCTGACTGCGAATGGCTTTAAATGCCAATCTGGAACAAGCTTTGAACTCGCACCCATGCAGCTGCTGTAATATACCTTAACCAATCTTCCCCTGCTCCTTTTATAAGGGAAATGCAGTCCAGTGGCCTCCTGGAAGCATCTCAGCAGGTCCCTGGCATCGTGCCCTTTGTCCAGGGTTGCAGTCAGGTCTGGGTTGTGTTATGGGGGATGTAACCTTTGAGGTGCTGAGAGCTGTTCTTTCCTTTCCCCCAGGGATTTGTGGTGGCAGTGCTGTACTGTTTCCTCAATGGGGAGGTAAGGTCAGCAAGGTTGTTCGGTTCGTGTTTGCAGCTAAGGCAGAGTGAATGCTCGTGGAGGGAGGATTGGGGAGTGTCCTGTTCCTGACATTACCACACAGGGGGAAAGCTTCCAACTGAAATTACTCACTCCAGAAAAACAACTCAACCATTTGCCCAACAGTTTCCAACACATTTAATAAACATAGTAGGACTTCCTTGCACACTTTAATACTGGTGCTGCTGAGTCCTTCCTTTACTCATGAACCAGACAGCATCAGCAGAATTCCCATAACCTTGTGTAAGCCCTCATTGGAAAGGAGCACGTTCGGCAAGGAAGGATAAAGCCCATCTTCTAAGCCCTACCCGTGCTCAGTGTCTCAGTGAATCCTCCACCTCATCCTTTTAAAGCCTAAATAATTTTGCCTTTAACTTGAAGGCCCAGAATCAGGCCCACTGTCAAGATGGAGGATTGTTAGTACAGTGATACATTTCTCTGTCATGCCTAGCAGAAATTCAGTAGGTGCTCACTAAACCAGTATCGTAAAGGCTACCGAGTAGGTGTGAGCGGCTAACAGCATTGAGCCGCTGTCAGCTGCAGTGCTTTGAGCTCAATAAACTGAGCAGGGACAAGAAAGGAGCAGCTGTGATCTAGGTTTTTGTTCCAGCTTCCTGGGGAGAGGAAGAGTGTCCGGAATCACAATTTGCTCTCTTACAGCTCTGATGCTGCTTTCAGCCACACCGAGGCCGGTGTGCATCACATAGTGGAATAGAGGGCATTCCCAGTTCCAGGAGAAACCTTTATCAGTGGGTTTGTGGGGAGCAGGGCAATACGATGCAAACTTACCCATGGTCCAAAACCCAAACATGACTTGTTAGCCGCAGACCAGTGCCACATGAACTTGCTTCCAGCTCATGGGCATTGGTCTTGCCTTTCCCATGTTCCCAGTCCTGGGGTTAGCATCAGCGGAGTTGTACTCTTGCTATACTTGCTGAACCCAGACACCCTCAAACACAGCTGCTATATGTAATTCGTACTATCATTTAAAACTATGCACTGGAAGCCTATATGAGGGGACAGGAACTGTGGCCAGATGTCTTCAGGAGTTGAATCTGGACAGTGTAAACCAGATGATGTATGTGAACCTGCTGAGCAGGAAGAAGGATCCTCTATCAAAAAAACACAGCTGTACTGATGGTTTCACAAACAACATATAGCTAAATCATTTGCATTTGGACGAAAACAGGGCAGTGAAAAAAAGCATTAAAATGGGTAGCCATTGAAGTTAAGTAGTCTAGCACCTTCGTTGTATCAAAAAAGCATTGCACTATTCTTTCCTTTCTGTAGAAGCTGATGGACTTCTGCTCTGGTAATTTACTGGCTGGAGTGTCACATCTCTTCTACGTGGCTAGAAGTTCTTTCCAGATTATGTCAATTTAATGACCTTTGTAAAATAATTCCTTAAAATATAAGATGAATCTCAGAGTCCCATTCAACACCTTCTTCCTGCCCCAGGAAAGCACCCTTGATTGCTCAGGGAATTGCACTCAGACAGTCACCCTGGCCACCTTAACAGCCAAACCCAAGCAGCAGCAGTTTCACCCCTTAGTAAGTGGGTCTCCCATTACTATTCATACAATCTAGTGAGAGCAACAGAAAATACTCCCCTCTGCTAACTTACTTGTCTTTCCACGGCTTAGGTCCAAGCTGAGCTCAAGCGAAAGTGGCGGAGGTGGCATCTGGAACGGTTCCTGGGCTCGGATATGAAGTATCACCACCCTTCCTTGGGCAGCAACGGCACCAACTTCAGCACCCAGATCTCCATGCTGACCAAGTGCTCACCAAAGACACGCCGGTGCTCTGGCTTCCAGGCCGAATTCTCTCTGGTGTGATGGGGAGAGACTCTGAGCACTGAGCATCTGAGAGAGGAACAGGGAGAAGGATCCCCAGGAATCAGTGATACAATGACAAACCCTTATGAAATGAAATGCTCCACATGAGCCAACAGAGGACACAAAACTGGAAAAGCCACTGGCATCCAGAACAAGATCAGACAAGCCAAGAGGCAGAGAAATATTTTTCTTCTCCCTCTTTTCAGATCTTTCACTCTAAGTTGATGCCCTCAGGGGTTGATAACTATGAGTAAAGGTCCTAGTCACTTGAGGAGAGCCTGGGAGGTCATATTGTGTCATAAATAATGAAGTAAGGAGAGCAAAGGGAGCCTGAGTCCTTGGTGGCTTTACCAGAACCAGCGTCTCTGAAACAGATAAATTGCACTTTTTTTTTAAATGAGCCAGTCAAAGAGAGAGGGAAGCAAGAAGTGGTATTGGAAAAAATGCCAAATGTATGAATGTGCCAAAAATCCAGTTGATAAGGGGTGGTGATAAGGCACCAAAGAGAGAATCAGGGGCAGCAGGGAGAAGGAACAGAAAAAACAAGCAGCAGCGGGAGAGGCCAGCAAACGGCCCCTGCCCCTGCATTTTACATTTACAAAGAAGAAGCTGCAGCGGCAGGAAGGCCCCCTCAGAGGATATCCCAACATTGGACTGTCTTCTGCTAATTGCCCACTGTCCATTCCATCCTCGTTAGCAAAAGCTTTCCAAGCGCCTTGGGTGTTCCTCTTGAAAAACAGCTTGCTGAGAAGGAACAGTGTGAATGCCCTTCTCTGCACTATGTTCATGACATCGTATTTTGTTTGGTTGATTTCGATGAACAGGGAACTCTCAGTTTGCATGTATAAAAAACCAGGTACAGATGCCAAAAGCAGAGCATGGCTGTGTTTTTCATTTTGTTTAAGTTCGCCCATAGATCTTGGTGCATTACCGCACCCAGGATCATTAGGGATCAGGGGAAAACAATTGATCTGTAATTCGTTTGCACTTGCTTAACACACGCTGCCAGGAAAGAGAGATATAGAACCCTGTAATCCTTAATTGAATCAGACCTGCCGTAAGGAGCGACTCTCTAGATGAAAAAATTAGCTTCACAGCAGCAAGCAAAATTGCTTTCATCAAAACAAGGTTGGCTCAGCATGTAACTGGCGCTCCAGGAGTCAGGAAGGAGTGAAGGAGCTATTAAATTGATTTCTGCTTCAGCTTTTGCAGGGAGCTTTCATCCTATGATGAAGGCACTGTTAGATCTTTAAAATGTGCATGTGCGTCTTGTCTCTTCTGTAAAGGCCTATTAGTTTCCATATTAAGGCAAACCCTGTTTGAAGAATGTACACAGATGGTGTTAAGACCAAGGGAAACTTTCTTTTTCTTTTCTTTTCTTGGCAGAGGGGAGAAGGAATGGGGTGCAGCTGAATTCTGCTCACAAGAGCCAGGCTAGCAGCTGGGGAGATCAAAGTCGCCGGTTCGCAGCGCTGCATGGGCAACTCACGCTTAGACCCTGCCGTTGACGCAGCCCCTGTAATCTCAAACCCAGGCAGAAGATAGACAGGACTAGGATGCTCATGATTGTTTCTGTATGTGTGTCCTGCCCAATTGACTTGAATGGAGTCACACCCATTTTTCACCAAAGAGTGTGAAATCACTGCCCAGCCCAGGTATACGCTTGGTGGTAGGGCTGCTGTCATCCTTTTGTAACCTGTAGTAAGTGCTGTCATCATAACGGAAAGTCTGGATCATCAAAATGATGCATGTACATGGAAGGGAAATTAGACTCCTCTTTCAGTGTTCAGAGGTCTCAGCTTGTCCACCAGGCACTTCCAGCACCGGGATGTCTTCTTTCCAACTGAAGGGTAGCTCATTGATGGGAAACGTCTTTAACTTGGTGGGTGTGGGTTTTGTTCTCGTTGGTTTTTTTTTTTTTTTCTCTCTCTGTTTGTTCGTTTGTTTTAAGCATCTGTGTTTCTCTACCAACAAACCACACTGAGCCCAGGAGAGCTGCAAATCTGGATGTCCAGTTTCCTTCTCAGTTCTGAGGCTGTTGCACCAAGCCATATCCCTCCCTGGAGTTACACCTGCTATTATTAGAGCTGAATGTTACCAAAGTATTTCTCCTCATGTATGGATTGAGGACGGCACTGAAGGCTGAAGTCAGAAAGGGGCATGAGATGCTCTGCCAAAACTGCAGTGAAGGGTAGACATGCACTCATTAGTTTTCAACGAGCTAGCTCAGATACTGTCACCGTGTAGCCATGGTTACCCAGGCTGCCGCTGCACTACCTAAGAGGGTAGGTAGACAGTCATGTAGATAGTCATGCTGAGCTTCATGCTCCTGGCTTTACATTCCTGACTGGTCTCCAGGCTGGCCAGGTGCAAGCCATCTGTGTTATGGCTACGTTACTCTGAAACCGTAATATTAGCAGTTAGAATCTAACACTGACATGCCATGAGATCTTCGAAATGCCCTCTTGACAGCTCTCTAATTCCCACAATCCAGAAAAACCATGAGGATGCTTAAAATTCCTCCGTGTTGCTTGTACAGAAGCCCTTATGCCCTGATGCCCACTGGAGCAAGGTCCACATCTAAATCCCACTGGAATGAGGTCCACATCTAAATCCCAGTGAGGTTTGCAGAGGCAAGGACCCCTCTCTGTTTTCAGTACTGGTGTTGCCCTCGTGGACACTTTCAGAACTAAGTTAGGACTCACACAGAAGGTACTATAGAGAAGTCCCACCAACCCCCCCCTAGTTTTTCTCCCATGCATGATTCAAAGCAGGGATTTGACTCAACTCTGCAACTTCCCAAGTGAATGGCTAGCTGCTAGGAAGTCCAAAAGAGATAGGGGAAAGGGCTCTCAGCTTGCAAGTTGTTCCAGCTGGTAAAACAAGCTTCCTTTTACTGATTCAGAGTTTGGAACATCGTCACGCTGTGGAAAAGGTTTGAGCCGTCAGACTGCAAAGTCATTCACCTTCTTCATCTGTCGTGGTACCTATTTATATCCAGCTGATGTGGTGGGCTGCAGGAAAGCACCGCCAAATCCTGTTAATGCCTTCACTGAAGTACCTGAGATGTGAACTCAAATCCTAGGTCCCAGACACAATTCCAAGGAGGAATTTGAGCACAGAGCTGTTGGGCCTAAGTGAAAACCATCGCCAACCATCTCCTTTTGAAATATGTGGGGGAAACTCTTCCCGTCTATTTCAGGCAGCCTCATTGCAGGAGAAGGTTCATGCCTATGAGATCCAAGTAGTATGAGCAACCTTGTGCGTTTTAACTCTGTGGTTCTTCAACATCCGTTTCACCTCCATAGCCTTATAACTCCATTTGCAGAAGGACCCACTGCTTTGTATTTATAGCTTCGCTTTAGTTTCAGCCTTGTGCTAACCTGTGCCAGCGTCAGACATATGCCGAAGGCAGCATGCATGGGCTTGCCGTTAAGAGATGTGACAGGAAAAAATTAGGCAGCTTATTTGCCCATGCTGCAGGGCCTTATGCAGCCTCTGATCTGCATGCACCACCAGGCTGTTTGGCATGGGAGCCCGAAGGTAGGATGTGACCTAAACTGAGGGTCTCCCTTGAAAATAGCTAGCTACATTAACATGCCAGGAACATGGCCCTGAGGACCCTACTTGCAATTACTTCATCACTGAAAATCCAGCTCTGTTGCCATTATTCTGTCATGGGTGTTTCAGAGATGAAATGAATGTGCTGAGAATACCTGCTGTGACAGGCATGGCAATATTTGTGATGCAGGCAGTGGAAAGCTGCCAGCCCAGCTGTGTTGGCCTCATATTGCAGGAGAACAGAGGAGTCAGTGATGAAATAAGAGCTTTTCACTCTGGGGTTACGAGCAATCAAGTGACCGAAAGGTGTTTCACCACTTGCTCTGGGATTTAGATCAGACCCTCATTTAAGTGACTTACCACAGGAATTTGGCCCGACAACTTGGCCTCCTTATGAGTGTGTCCTTTATCCAGCCCTGCAATAAAATAGAGTTCAAAGACCTCGCTGCAACCCCAAACTACCATCGGAAAGGCATTGTCCCAAACCAGTGCAGAATATGTGATCAATTGCTCAGAACTACTGTTATTTCTCATAAAGCACAGATCTGTCCTCTTTTAACTCCAGGGTAAGACAGGAATGACTCCAGTGAATGCAGCTGAGTTACTTTGGTGCAAAATAAGAAGCATGCTTGGATGCGTTAAGCTTTTAAATGTATTTGAAGATCATAAATTTGGACTCCAAAACTCTTTACAGAAATCAGGCCAAATTCTGATCCCAGCTGCACCAATTACTTTACTACAGTGCCTCCTGATTTACGCCAGGATGGAACTAGAATTTGACTTTTTGTAAGAATTCCTTCGTCTTCAGCCTGAAACAGTTTATTTCCTGTTTATACAAGTGAGAGCTCAAATTCACTCCTGTTGATTAATCATTCCAGATTTCAGTGATTAAACTATTACATAATTATTATTAAGTAGGGAACAATCAAAATATAAAAGTTAAATAATTTTCTCAATATCCAGAGGTACCTGGTTCAGTGCCATTATTAGACTGCAGGTATTTCTGCTCAGCTGTGACCTACATGGCTTTGTGCCCCCTCATAAGTAGTAAGAAATGAGAATATGGCCATGTTTAGGGTTTAAAAAGGAACTGTAAAGAAATTGTAGGCTGTGGCAGAATTTCAGGCTATTAACCACATCTATTTTTTAAAAAGAGAACTATTCCGCAGCAGAATTGTTGCTGCAATCTTGGAAAGAAAAAGGGAGCCCAAACAAGCCCGGGAGACCAAACACCTGACATTTCCTTATTTTTTTTCTATTCTTTTTTTTTTTTTTTTGGTCCAGGAAACAGTTTTATTTTTAACAAGGAAGGTGTTAATGGAGAAATTTTTATATATATATATATATAAATTAGACAGTCAATTTACTTCCATCTCAATATCCAGCCTTATTCCAGTTCAGCTCAGAAGCAATGAGGCAGTGTGGAGTATGTGTCACATGGCTATGCGAGGGAAGGGATTAACACCAAATTTCTGCTCCAGTCTCATGGAAATACTTTCAAAGAGAGATGCCTCGCCTCACTAATAAAAGATCGCCTATTAGCTTTTTTAAAAAGCAGAATGAAATTGCAAATAAAGCTCAGGGATGACTTTTGCTTGGCTCCTTTGCGGGGATGAAATGGTTTTGGTGGATGAGTCTGTCTCCACTTTTTTCTACCACCAGCACCGCAGTGTGTCCTTGCTTTTTTGATCCTCCACAACCCCCAAGCAGAAGCTGTGCAGGAGAAACCCAAAGCAACGGTGGAGTGAGAGCGATGTGTTTAAACAAGGGGAAAAACAGTGCATTTCCGGAGGAGATAAGAAAGCTTTTCAGGCTAGAAGGGAGGACTTAGAAGTGCCAGCGCTTGCTTTTGTGCAGCTCATTTTATTCTATCCACACAAGTTCGTGTTAGCACCTGCTTTGATTAATGGCCCGTGGAAACGCATGTGGTAGTAGAAGCAATGAGACTGAGAAGCAATATTTCTTCTCTGCAAGTTGACTCTAACACAACAGCCCATATAAAACGTGCCCTCTCTTCACCGTGTCCCAGACACTGTTTTCAGGTAACGCATTTAGCTAAAGGCGAAGAGTTCCCGACAGCAGTGTTGATACAGCCCATGTACAGCCCTGCGCTTGCTCCCAGGGCATCTCCGAATCAGTTGTGAATGTGCCAAACTCTTGGAGACAAGGATTGCAGTCCTGAACTTCCTGACTCGCAATGCAACTTTACACCTTTCAGATACCAATGTACACAGGGGCAAGGGCCATAATGCTTCCTGACCGTGGATGACCTTCGAAGGGCAGGAGGCCAAGCTCTTGGCCTCATATATACTAGTATCGATCTGGAATGACTTTACTGATATCATCCTAGAGCTAAACCACTGTAATAGGGAAAATAATTAAATCTCAGACTGGTACTTGGAGTCAGACTTTCCAAAATCCAGAAGGGAATACGTTTTGATCCATTTTCTTTCAGCCAGTCAACTTTTCACCCCATCTCCAAACCCAGTATTTACAAACCAGCCTGATGAGGTATAATGACAATGACTGATCTTGTTATTACCCATGGAGATCTGTACAACTATAAACTATGACTTTTGGGAATTAGGAGTTTCCTGGGCCAACAGAGTGTCTCTTCCACCTCCTACCATCTAAAAGACCTAACTCCTCATTTGCTTGCACCTCGTTGTCCCGTATAGTGAAGAGTCCTACCTTTGAAACCCTAGTTATTTTTAGCATACTGTGAAATCACAGGGAAGAAGACAAACGCTGGGACTGGAAACTCTACAAACAGATCTTTAAGAGAAATAATCCCCATTTGGGTTCTGAGGGCCAGGCCTTCCGCATATGTAAATTGGCATCAGCAGAGTGCTAGTGATTTCCACCTGCTGAGTTCAGACCCTAGTTCTGTGGATATTGTAAACCTGTACATAAAGGAAACCGAAATAGTACGTTAAAATAAAAAAAATACACATTTTTGGTACTCTGTGGATGCTAAATCTAAGTTCAAAAAGGCGCTTTTAAATTCAAGAGTGTATTTTTCAGACTCTGTGTTTCAAATACAGATCAAGTTGTTCTTGTTCAGTAGCTGGTGCCAACTGACTCTTTTTTCTCACTCAGACTGTAAGCCCCTCTGCTCTGCCCTCCTGTAAATAGGCTTGGACTACAAAGAGTGATGAAAATTCGCTGTGAACAGAGAACTGCTGTTAAGCCACCTCTCTGTGGACTTTTATGTGCCTAGGTGCTTGTGATGTATTCTTCAGGCCAGTGAGATCAGGCCTGCTTGCTCGGCACAGGTGAAATCTCTGCCTTGTTTCATGGCCTTTTGCCCTGTTATTTATTTTGTTCTGACTCTGTAAATATGCAAGGAATTGGCTGGTTCTTTTCCTTTGTGTTTGGTTCATCTCCTTGCTTCAGAGGACGTTCCCTGTGGTTGACCCTGCTGAAAACAAGCAATAAAACCAACGTGAAGACATTGTGTCTTAGGTGTTCTACTTGATATTTTAATTATTTTTTTCTCAATCCCTGAAGAAGACACAAACAGAGACAGTGGAGGAGGAAAAGCCAGAAAGGAGGTAGTGAGCTGGTAAGGGAATTACCTAGAGCTGCAAAACGCAAAACGGTCTCGTACTTTGCATGGTTAGCCAGATCGACCAAATCACTCTCAAAATGGGAGAACTTCTTCAAGAACCTCTGTGCCAATATAAGAATCAGTAGCAGTCCCAGCAAAAGTGATGCCCAAAGCCTCCACAATAAAGGCAACACTACTGCATGTGCTGTGTGGCTGGATGCAACATCCTTTGGAGATAATAATCATGCAATTACAAAAAGACATGATGGTTCTTATGCCAAGATCAAGAGCTGTTAAATGAAGGTAAACCGCAAAAAAGTCTAGCCCATGCATTCAGTTTCTAGAAGAAGCCACCATTCAAGATATTTCTCTGCCTCTTTCCTTCCATCCATTTCCTTCCTTACCCTGCAGAGGTATAAGGACCTCTGGTCCTTTTAACAACAGTACTTCCTTAGCCAGCTGAGTCAGTAGCAGCCAGAAGAATTCCTGTATTTGTAGGTACCTAAGTCCATGCTTGCACATATCCATCTGTTGATTGTTAGAAATTTAGGGCTAGATGTTGAAACATTCTCCAACTGTCTTACAATGTTATGGCATTCAGAAAACAGCCAGATTCATCCCCTTTGAAAGAGACTAAAAATAAGGCCTATCTTTTATATCATAGAATGTAGCAGTTTCTAACTAGCCTCCAAGACCAAGTAAACCTAAAAACTCATTAAAATCAACTTTGTTCTCATTCTGTATCAAACACACTCGGGCTGGCAATTCTCTGGGCCGTGCAGTAGGAGAACCTGCGAGCAGCTTTTCAAGAGCAGAGGTGATGGGTCCATTTCACCTGCAGAAATCTCACACCACTGTGTGAAATTGCAGTGCTTTATCTATGACAAGGGAGCCATAATCCAGCTTTCTCTGGAATGCCTGCCATATATAATGACCAACGGCATCTTATAGTGCAGGCAGAGAAGCGATGGTTATTGAGTCAGTGTCAAGCAGGATCTTTAGAGTGTGAGAGCTTCTTTCCCACCATCATTAAGTTCAGGATGGGCTAACTTACCATGCTTCCTGGCAAAGCAAGTTAATCTTCAGGTTGTTCCTTCTCTGCTGTTCTAGCTCAAGTCGGTGATTTGACCCTGGGGTAGTCACAACCATATAATACGATACCACAGCGCCGGTTGTGGCAACAGCTTCCGTGATCTGTGCATCATGAGTACATCCTGCGCTCAGCTCTTTTAACTATGCACACAAGATCCATCAACCTCAACACTGCAGAATGATGCACATCAGCACACCATCACTATGAATGCGCACACAAAACCACAATAGAGCTGAGTGTAAAAATAGTTATACAAGTGGATAGTTAACAACTTCCAGATGTAAAGCTAAGCACAACAACTGGGTCTGGGTTAAACATCCTGCAAAGCTTACTTCTCTAGTTTGCCTTTGGGACTTCCTTGATTTGCCTTTGGAGGTTAAGTGAGGTTTCTAAATATGCTGTTTATCCACCCCAAAAGGAATGCCTTGATTTTCAGAAATGCGGAGTTCATGAGAAGTGTTGAATGTGGAGTACAAATCTGACCACTTACCTCCCTTCAAATGCACTCCAGCTTCAGAATAGCTCCCTCCTGGGAAATATATGGACTAATCTTTTTACAGGGATTTCACAGATTCCTCCAAATCCACGCCAGTAGATTTCAATTCATTAGCAGGCCATTTAAATTAATATTTCTCTTGGCACAGATTTAATTGCCCAACAGGGCTAATAAGACTTTAACTCTCTTCCTTTCCACTGTCCCTTCATGGAGCTGGTGGTGCTGCAGAGCCCTAGTTTGTCTCTGCCTCCTCAACGCACTATGCGTGCCAAGTGCAGGCACCTGGTACATTCGTCCCTGGAGCAGGAGGCACACTGCAGCAATGCTCAGCCGGTGGGGACCATGTGCTCAGCCCCAGCAGTTTTCCAGCCCTGCCAGATGACCAGATACCTCCTGAACCTCATATAAGTGACCTTAACTTTGCAGCTTCCCCTCCAGCTTTCCCAATGGTGTTGCGCCTGCGCCTGCATCCCATACATATTTCATCCTTGCTCTGTGCCCATTTCATTTAGAGCTGTCTTTTCAGGTAATTATTGCTCAAAACGAATCCTGGGTCATCTGCTGTGTAGGAAAAATGCCTAGCAATACTAAGTGAACAATAATCGTTCTTATAAGAGACACATTATTTAATGCATATGAATATTTAGCAGTGAAAATAAATTTCAGTGAGAGATCAGTGAGCCTTTTTCTACTACATGGGGCCACATCCACAGCTCATCCCCTTCTTAAGCTGATTTACACCCCACTGCTCACAGAACTAATGAAGAAAGGCCAAGTCTACAACTAGAGATGACAAGTCTTTGCTATATCTGTCCCTTCTTTCTACATGGATTAACCATTTTCATTTAAAAGTGAAGGGTCTAATGCCTTAGGCCGTTCTGAAAAGCAAAGATATTGCATACTGACTTTGATTGGCTTCCTCTGTGGCTTAAAACACAAGTCGGGAAAATACAACACAAAGGCCAGGGAAAGA